CCTCCCTTTCATGATTAAGGTGGTTGTTTTGCAAAATGAGATGGCTCTCTAAAATCAGGTAGACCGAATCAAATGTTCTTTATTTGAAACATCTTTATAAATCTAAGTCTATTCTAAAGTAATAAGGTTATTATTCATTTCTGTTTTGTTTTTAATTAAAGACAGGGTCTTAGTATTCTGCCCAGACTGGAAGGCAATGGCCTGATGATAGCTCACTGTAACCTCAAACTTATGGGTGATCCCCCTATCTCAATCTCCCAAGTCCAGCCAAGGATATTTAGAGGAAAATAATTATAATTGTATTTTGACAGAGCATGGTGACTCATGGCTATAATCTTAGCATTCTGAGAGGCTGAGGCTGGAAGATCGCGTGAGGTCAGGAGTTCAAGACTAGCCTGAACAAAGTGAGACTCAGTTCCTACTAAAAATAGAAAACTGGGCGTAGTGACATACACCTGTAGTCACAGCTACTTAGGCTAGGGTAGGAGGATTGCTTGAGCCCAAGAGTTCGAGGTTGCTATTAGGTAGGCTGAGGCCATGGCACTCTAGCCCAGGTAATAGAGCAAGTTTCTGTCTCAAGAAATAAATTGTACTTTTAATTAAGTTGAATAACTTTGCAGGAGTTGTGGTTTGGTATATCAGCAGTATACTATTTATTTATTTTGGAGACAGTCTTAACCTGTCCCCTGAGGTAGAGTGCTGTGGTGTCACCGTAGCTCACAGCAACCTCAACCTCCTGAAAAAGAAATCCTCCTGCCTCAGCCTCCCTAGTGGCTGGGACTACAGGCTCCCACCACAATGCACAGCTAGTTTTTCTATTTTTAGGAAAGATGGGGTGTTGCTCTTGCTCAGGCTGGTCTCAAACTCCTGAGCTTAAGCAATCCACCCACCTCAACCTTCCAGAGTTCTAGGCTTATAGCCATGAGCCACTATGCTCAGCCAGCAGTATGCTTTATTTACAACTTTTGTTATTCAGGATATCTTTCAATGTTTTAGTGGAAATGAAAAGACATTTGAAATAAGTCTTTTCCATGTCCCTTTCAAAGTATGAGTTCAGAGATGTTGAACTTGCTATTCTTTGTCATCATTACATTAAAATTGCATAGACCATTGTGAGGATCAGGTACTTTGCAACCTTTGTACTACAAGAAAATTTATATGGGAAAAATCAGTCTGATATATGAACCCTAGGAAAGTTTTAACCATAGTTAATGATTGGTGTACTGTTTGTTTTAGAGGATCCTATTTGTACAGATACGCATACACTTTTCAAATGACTTAAGGAAAAAATATAGAGATTTGCTGAGACTATCCAACCCATAAATTCTCTTTATAATGAATTTGGAACTTGGTGTTCTCTCCAGTAAACTACAGAAGATATTTAGTGAATTTGATAATCTATGACAATGAACAGAGAGGAATAACTTGAATTGCTAAACTGACACATTGGTCTTGTTTCATGAAAACAGAGCAAAGTGTGATCCCTATAATTGAGATTTTGGACATTTGGGGAGCTTTAGGTGGAGTCTAGAAACACATTGAACCAAGGTAACACCCAAATAGAAGTCTGTCCATATGATTTCAGTGGCCAGTTAGTTACCGTTTTTTTGCTACCATTTGGAGATCTCTACTGCAAAACCTTCTCATCATCCATTCATCTGTCCTATGGTTCTCTTCTTTTTTTTGGCTGGGGCCAGGTTTGAACCCACTACCTCCAGTATATGGAGGCGGTGCCCTGCTCCTTTGAGCCACAGGTGCCACCCCTGTGTTCTCTTCTGTCAGTTCAGTTCAGCATAATACCAACAACAATTGGAAATGGGCTACTTTCTCCACACATGTGAGAATGCCAGTGCTTTCTGTCACTATAAAATAGCTTCTGTCTTCTAGAATTTTATTTCACATCATTTTATTTATTTATTTTGAGACATAGTCTTACTCTGTTCTCTAGGCTGAAGTGCAGTAGCACAATCATTGTTCACTGTAACCTTGAGCTCCTGAACTCAAGCAATCCTCCTGCCTCAGCCTTCAGAGTTAACTGGTACTGCCAGCATGCACCACCTCACCTGGCTAATTTTTCTATTTTTAGTAGAGACAGGGTTTCACTTTGCTCAGGCTGGTCTCAAACTCCTGATCTCAGGCAAATCCTCCCACCCCAGCCTTCCAGAGTGCTAGAATTACAGGTGTGAGCCACCACACCATATCCTGCTGATATGTTTAACTTTTTTTTAATTGTTTAAAAAAATTGTTCTTGGATCAGCACCTATAGCTTAGCAGCTAGGGCCCCAGCCATGTATACTGGAACTAGTGGGTTCAAATCCAGCCCAGGCCTGCCAAACAACAATGACAACTACAGCCAAAAAATAGCCGGATGTTGTGGTGTGCACCTATAATCCCAGCTACTTAGGAGGCTGAGGCAAGAGAATGGCTTATGCCCAAGAGTCTGAGTTTGCTGTGAGCTATGACACCACAGCACTCTACCAAGGGGCAACAACTTAAAACTCTGTCTCAAAAAATATATATATATAATTAACAGTTCTGGTTTTACAAAAAAATTCCAGAGATGATTCAAAGAGTTCAGAGAGTTCCACATCTGGTTTCTCCTAATAATAACACTTTACATTAGTGTGGTACATATATCACAATTATTGAACCAGTAATGATATAATATTATTAACTGAAGTCCAGCTTTGTTTTTTTGTTATTGTTGTTTAAGACAGAGTCTCACTGTTTCACCCTTGGTAGAGTGCTCTGGCGTCACAGCTCACAGCAACCTCCAACTCTTAGGCTTAAGCAATTCTCTTGCCTCAGCCTCCCAAGTAGCTGGGACTACAGGTGCCCACCTCAGTGCTTGGCTATTATTTTTGCTGCAGTTGTCATTGTTGTTTAGCTGGCCCGGGCCAGTTTCAGACTCGCTAGCCTCAGTGCATGTGGCCAGCACCATAAGCACTGTGCTGCGGGTGCCGAGCTGAAGTCCAGCTTTTGATTTTGTTCATTTTCTCCATTAACTTCTTGTTTTCAATTTCAGTGGTATGTTTAACTTTTTTTTTTTTTTTAAGAGACAGAGTCTCACTTTATCACCCTCAGTAGAGTGCCATAGCGTCACAGCTCACAACAACCTCCAACTACTAGGCTTAGTTGATTCTCTTGCCTCAGCCTCCCAAGTAGCTGGGACTACAGGTGCCCACCACAGTGCCCAGCTAGTTTTTTGTTGCTATTTGGCTGGGGTCAGGTTTGAGTCCGCCACCCTTGGTATATGGGCCAGCGCCCTACCCATTGAGCCACAGGCACTGCCTGGTATGTTTAACTTTAAGAAATTGCCAAACTACTTTTCCAAAGTCGGTTATACCATGTTTAATTATCATCAACAGTGTATGAGTTCTAGTTTCTTCGTGTCCTTGCCAGTGTTTACAATGACTAATCTTTTTCATTTTAATTATTATGGTTTTAATTTGTATTTCCCTAATGAGTGGTCATTTGAGTCTCTCTTTCCATGCTTATTTGTTAGATAAGGACATGTGTTTTCCAAACATTTTCTCCAAGTCTAAGATTTGGCTTTACATTTATGTTACAGTGTCTTCTATAAAGCAAAGGATTTTAATTTTATTGGTGTCTAATTTATTAATTTTTTTTAATGGATCTTACTTCAGGTGCTGTAGCTGAAAAAAAAAAAAATCTTTGCCTACCCCATGGCTTCTTTACATTGGTGATACTGACATTTCAGCTAGATAATCCTTTCTCCTAAGAGGCTGTGCATTTTAGGATGTTTAGCAGAATTTCTGGCCTCTACCCACTTAATTACAATAATATCCACCATGTTGTTTTAGCGACTCTTGGTTGAAAACCACGGGCCCAACCCAAGGTCACAAATACCTTTTTCTACATTTTCATCCAGAAGTTTGATTTAGGTCTTACATTTATTTCTGCAATCTATTTTGAGTTAATTTTGTATGTGGGCTCGGTGCCTGTGGCTCAAGTGGCTAAGGCGCCAGCCACATACACCTAAGGTGGCGGGTTCGAATCCCCAGCCCGGGCCTGCCAAACAACAA